CTCAGGTGTGAAGGAGACAGAGAAGAAGTGGGCCGGCCAGTACCTGAAGATCATGGGGAAAATCTTGGACCAAGGTGAAGACTTCCCAGCCTCAGAAATGACTCGGATCAGCAAGCTAATTGAGAACAAGATGAGCGACAGCAAAAAAGAAGAGCTGCACAAGAGCTTAAACATCCTGACCGCCTTCCGGAAGAAGGGGGCTGACAAGGAGGAGCTGTGACAGGGCACAAGGGTTTCCAGGGTTTGCTGGGGTTGGGAAAGGGAGAGCCACCTGCTGGCTGTGAGGCCCCTATGGAGTACAAGGTTGTGGAACAAAGCAGTCCTGAGCCAGAAACCTGAACCCTGAATATGCCTGGACATTCATGTTGCTGAGATCATGCTTAGGACATCCCTAGAAGCCAGTGTGTGTGTGGAGAGCCTGTCAAGGCTGGTGAGCTGCCCCAGCAGAGGAACTGGTGCTACAGAGGAGTTAATGCTGAACAAATAAAAGTCTTGTTTTGGTTAGATGGCTTTCTTTTCAGATTGTACTTTTTTGGCCTATAATTTGAGTCTCAGCTATTGAGGATTTCTTTCTATCGGGAACTCTGCCCTGCACCAGGCATCACTCTGGAGAATCGTGAATGTGAGGCAAAGGATGCTGTCTGCCCTCTGACTTTATGCCCTCTGTAGTCTATCATGCTTTCTTTCTACAGAGCAAGTTCTTAGTTGTACTAATGCATTCTTTTTAGAATTTATACAATCAAGGCCATATGTGGTGACACACATCTGTAATCTGACAGAGTAGAGGTACAAGGATCACTTTCAGCTACATAATGAATTTGAGGACCAGCCTAGGGTACATGAGACTATTAAAAAAAAAAAAGGTACACAACCAGATGAACAATCACTCCAATTCAAAGATTTAAATGATTAATTACTTTCCAACAGTATCACTTACTGTAAGTTACTCAGTCAACACTAAATTTTTATGGTTTTGGCTTTTGAGTCAAGGTTTTTTGTCTTACAGCTCTGGCTGTCCTGGGACTCACTGTAAATCAGACTGCCCTTAAACTCAGACAGATCTGCCTCCTGTGTGCTGGGATTACAGGTGTGCGCCACCACTGCCTGGCAAAACCAACTTTTAATAAACAACCTGATTCCACTCCACTCAGTGTTCAGTTGGATCAAGCAAAACATCCAGCTGCTTTGTACTTGGGTGTGAACCAACCCTAAGTGCCCTTGCTCACAGCTCACGGCTGACATTCTCGGCAATGAACTTGGGATCTAAAGGATCTAGTACTTTTTATTTTCAATGACTTTTCTAATTTTATATTTCTGAGTGCTTGCCTGCAGTATATATGTGCACAATGTGCATGCAATGACCACAAAGGCCAGAAGAGGGTGTTGGGTTTTCTGGAACTAAAGTGGTAGATGGTTGTGAGCCACTTTATAGGTTCTGGGAACCAAGCACAGGTCTCTGAGGGCTCTTAACTAATGAGCAAGCCATCTCCCTAACTGCTAATATCATTTTTATCAAAATTCTTTCTAATCTCTTTGGGTGCTTCTGAAATACACACTTGCCTGAGGTGTTCTAGTTTATGCCCCTATCTAGGCCAGGCCAACTCCAAAGGACAAAATATTGGCAATTTTATAGAAAGCAGAGCACCCAATCTCTTCAGCCTTTGTAAAAGAAGTGGGACAGTGGCAGTCTACCCTAGGTCCTCTCAGGATGGACTCAGCTTGGTTGCTATGGTTTCTAACCTTAGGTGCTCTGGAAGGGGACTAAATTGCCTTGTCTATTTCAAGTTGAATCTGCTTAAGAGAGATACCACAGAAATGCAGTCTCCCCTCATACTGCCAGATGACTCCGTCCAGCAACACTGGCCCAGGGCAGTAAGCATGCTCTAATGATGGTTACCTAGAGTCTGGCGTCTTAGGGTTGGTTACACAGCTGCGTTGTTTCTGTTTAAGGGAATTAATTCTTCAATAATCTGATGCAGTAAACAATAGATCCAACATAACAAACTTTATTCTAAAGAACCCGCATATTTTCTCAAATAGTGTCAAGAGGAACTTTTTAATTAAGGAGCATTTCTTAGTAATGAATGCCATTAAAAAGGGTGGAGTGAGACAATTCAAGAAAGTCCATGGGTGTATAGAGAAGCACTGTCTCACAAAGAATCTAGCTTTTAACTCTTATGCATGTCCCTGGCATCTACAGAATCTACATGTTGCATAAAGTTGTGCCCCTCAAGCATGAACTGCAATGGCAAGCCCAAAATAACGTTGTGTGATTACAGGACTCGCTGTGTACTCAGCACTGTAAGGTTGGCATCAATCAGTAATAGCACCTGCAAAGTTGAATCATGTTAGAAAAGAGGTTCAGGCAAGGATTCTTTTTGTTAAAGAAAAAAATGTTCAGATAAAGTAAATTCCTCCCTGAAGAAACAGGCAAGACCTGCTAAGGGCATACGCTATCAGGAAAAAAAAGGAATCAGGAAAACAGCTCCTGCTTATACTGCATGGTTAGTGTGCCTTTAAGCAAGCAGCATCTCCAGACAGCCTGAAGCCTTCCAGTGACCATCCTAAGTGGGTGGGGCCATTGCACTCTGACTCATTCAGGTCTCCAGACACACTGATAACTTCCATCACACACGATGGATCTTCTACACCACACATAGCCTCCAACTAGGACTTAGGGTCTCAGTGACTAACAGATGTAGCACAACAGCTTAAGACACACCTGTTAGCTAATAAATAGAATTGTGTAAGGCACTATTGTTAAGCCACAAAGATTAGTTTTGACCTTTAGTCTTTTGGTTTTTATTTTCATTTGTTTGTTTTTAAGACAGTGTCTTGTAGCTGCACAAAGTTTTAACCTGGTCCTCCTGCCTCCAGCCCGGGCTAGCCCATAGTCGGGATAACATTCAGTACTATCGAGATGAGGTACACTGCTTAGTAATCTCTAACTTTTTCAAGACTGAACAAAAATGAACCAGGCAAAAGTGCCAACTAAAAATAAAAACATTTATGTAAATTAACCTGTACAGTTAAAGCCAATTTACTGCCTTCACTTAATTCTCAAGAGCAGAGATTTCCCACACCAATAAATCACATCAAAAAAGTAGAAAGAGTTTCAACAAGCCTGCAGATAAGCTGAACCCCTTTTTATATTGAAAAAGTTGAAATGAAAGACAAATACAGATTGAACGTGGTGATTGCAAAATATAATGCAATTTTGAACAATTAAAATTATGAAAATATACAAAATCGATGGCAGCACACCTAGGTTTGTGTACACTCTCCATTATGTGGAGACACGACAGGACTCTCAGTCCACAGCAGAGGAGTAACTTGAACCCAACGCCTGCTTTGGAAAGTCTTGACTTAGGATCTCAGTAGTATAAAAAGCAGTGATTTTTCAGTCTGTAAACAGTAGTCGTGGTTATTTTTTGTTGTTGTTTTTTGTTTTTTAAATATCAATTTACCACACAAAAACAAAACAGAACAAAACCCATATAAACCAGAACAGCAGCAGCAACGGGTCACTGAGCATCTCCTCAGATATTAAGACATACAACTGTGGGGAGAGGGTGCTTTTTACTCAGTAAGAATATATATATATATATATACTTTAACTGTACACAATTTATAGGCATGACAGCTTCCAAAAGAACAAACTGATAAAAGATATTGGCCATTTCTTCATAATTTCATTCTTTTTACAATTATCTCCAAATGTAACAATTTGATCTAATTGAAATGCTACATTTAGTAAGAAAATCAGCAAGTAACAAAGGAAGCACAGCTCCAACTTGACATTATTGTCAGTAAAACCAGTGGAGATCCCAGGTGTCCAGGGCAGAAGACTGCATAGACCACTAGAGGGAAGAGCTATGTCCTGAGAACCAGAGCCAGTGTGCAGTCCATACCTAACTGATCATGGTCAGCTGACAGAGCTGTTTTAAAGAGCATCTATATCTACAGACATACAACAATTTGAATATCCCAAGAAACATTATTTCAGGAGCAACACTACAGGCAAAAAAGCCCACCCAGCCCATAAGACACAGGCCATAGCTACAGAAAAAGACCACATGTTGATGTTCAAGGAGTCGGATTCAGAGTCTTCCTCTTACTCAGCAGGCCCTTTCTTTGGGGATGGAACATGTGATATTATAAAAATGTTCTGGTGTAATTATGTGGTCTAGGCTTTCCAGCACATCTTACAAGTAAGAAAGTGGTTTCTACAGATTCTCTTAGACATTTAAACTATTAGTAGCCACTATGCTGATTTGTGAATCTAAGAATGTCAAGATAAATGATAAAATGCAAACCTCACACCCAAGATTTTGCCAGCTTTCCTTAGCTGGTGTCACCTTTTGCTGGAGCAGTGCGGGGAAAGACCAATACTCAGCAGATCCATTTCTTCACCTTAGAGTTAACTGACACGTCAAATGACAGGCAATGAGAACACCGAGGGTGATTCAAACACCAACAGTTACTAAAGGAGTCGTTAGGAGCTCAGCATGACATACAAGAGCAGTCTTCATCCTCTCAGAGCAGCCTCTCAAGCTGCAGGCTTGGGGACCAGACCTCCAACCTCCAGGTGAACAAAGGAAATAAATCCTGGTCCATTTGCCAAGTGTCAAAGTAGATGGACATCAGGCCCACGGAAACACTATCTTTTGTCAAGCTAAAACTTAAAACCTAGGCTAAATTCATAGAACACAACTCCTTCCGTCCCAAACTCCCCACTTGCAAACACTAAAGTAGTAAATCTTTGTTTCATAGCACCTTTATACCTATGTATATCTCTGTGTGTGACTCATGAATCGGCTGCAGAATGGGACTCCAAACAACGGAAACAAGTATCAGACAGCTTGGCCCACACAAGTCCTGAACACCGCTCTTTAAACAGCTCTTCCCACTTTTCCCAGAGGCCCAATGGACAAGTCTCAGCAGCTGAGGAAGTGCAAGGTGGACTGTACTCAGAGTCTTCCTCGCTGACCCGAGGCTAAACTCTCCCAGGAGCGGGGCTAGAGACGTTTTGGCTCTCAGGACTATGAGGCCAAAACTGAGCACCTGTGGTCATGTGTGGTGCCCTGCAGCAGCATGTTCTCACATTACATCTCACCTGACCCTCTGTGAACCCACCCTGGTTCTGTGGGAGCCTCATAAGGAACCTGCTGCCACGAAAGAGTCCTGCTCCTATGTCTGCTCCTGCATCTGCTTTTTGCCTCCTGTGACTCAGTACCAAATCCAAACTTCCACTGCATAACAGAGAAATCACCTGCTTTGAGGTCAATGCTTTGTACTTATTTCTATTGCTGCTTGTATAGAAACCCCACCAAAAACATTTCTGGTGATGGGAAGGAAGTAGGGTTCTCTTGTTGCTGTCCTGTATACATGAACAGGTATAAAGAGTGGTAAACCCAGATGTGGGTCCTGCTTCTGGTTTATATACAATAATTTATAATCAGTTGTATATTTTTAATACCTCAAAAATTAATTCACGATCAAAGTCCTTCATGCATGTGAGGAAGATCTGGATGAAAACAATGGCCAGCAGATGTTGCTGTTGCCGGGGAAGGTGGTGTGTCATCTTCTGCTGTAGCGTCTTCAGTGCCCGTGGTTCATACGTCCTTAAATTTTTAGTTTCTTTGTGGTCTCAAGTCTTTTTCTCAGCAGCTCCCCAATTTCCAGAAGTGAGTGCAGGTAACTGCTCTGCACTTTACCCTGCACAGTCTTTGAAAATTTTCTTTCTTCCTACAACAGAAACAATAACTTGTGTTGCTCAGAAATCATTCACTTGGTTTCTAGTGACCTCACCCAGAACACCAGGTCATTTTTAATGTAAGGAAGGGGAAAGCCATTTTGGGCATTAGGTGACTCATATGGACATGTGACCCAGGCTGGTATGACAAGTATGTATGTCCCAAGCCAACAAACATGGGATTCTGAGTAGCTGTAGCTCAGATACAGTACTGTTAGTATTTTATGACAAGCTGGGCAAGGTATAAAATCCAAGACTTCTGTTTTCAGATGAAGTAGAACTGTATCACTAATTTGACATCACAGCCATTTTAAACAGCACCTACTTTATACCAACTCCGTCTTTCCCTATTAGAATACTGTCGAGGCCATCCCCTGTCCCATCCATTGTGCTCCAACGCATCTCCTCGACTCCCCTATTGAATCCCACCCTGGATGGTAGTCCACAGGTTCGAGAGACAAAACCGTACTGCAGTATGGAGTACCAAAAAGTGGGTTTGCTCCAACACAAAGAGGGCCAGGAAGTTGGGAGGGCTATATGAGGGTGAAGCCCAGAGTCTCAACAAAAACCAGATACAAACTTCCTGATGAACAATGCTATATATAATGGTTTTTGTACAAGACAATGCATACAAATGTTTTGTTTTGTTTTGGGAGATAGGTTCTCCCTACTTAGCCCTGGCCATCCACCTGACTCTCCCTCCCAAGTGCTGGAACTAAGATGTGTGTCAACAACCACATCTACAAATACATTTTATTCAGTAGTATACATAAAAAGTAAGTACAGCTGTACCTAGCCATAGGCTGTATACCCACACGTTCCAGCAACCACACATAAAAACTAATCTCAAGAACAAACTGAGGGCTGGAGAGATGGCTCAGTGGTTAAGAGCATTGCCTGCTCTTCCAAAGGTCCTGAGTTCAATTCCCAGCAACCACATGGTGGCTCACAACCATCTGTAATGGGGTCTGGTGCCCTCTTCTGGCCTGAAGGCATACACACAGACAGAATATTGTATACATAATAAATTAAAAAAAAAAAAAAAGAACAAACTGAGCTGAACATAAGACTTTTTTGTTTGTTGTTTGTTTTAGTTTTTCAAGACAGGGTTTTGGGGGCTGGAGAGATGGTTCTGCAGTTAAGAGCACTGGCTGCTTTTTTTTTTTTAATTTTTTTTTTAAATTTATTATGTATACAATATTCTGTCTGTGTGTATACCTGCAGGCCAGAAGAGGGCACCAAACCTCATTACAGATGGTTGTGAGCCACCATGTGGTTGCTGGGAATTGAACTCAGGACCTTTGGAAGAGCAGGCAATGCTCTTAACCTCTGAGCCATCTCTCCAGCCCCTACTGGCTGCTTTTATAGAGGACCTATGTTCAGTTCCCAGCACCGTCATGGTGGCTCATAACCACCTCTAACTCTAGTTCCAGAACATACAGAATGACTCAGGCACCAGGTTCACAGATGTACATGCAGGCAAAATACCCAAACATTAAATATATATATATTAAAATATTTATTTATTTGTTATGTATACAATACACTGTAGATAATATTGGACTATAGCAATCCTCCTGCTCCAGAGTCCTGAGTGCCAGGAGAACATATGTGCATCACCATGCCCAGCCTCCCTGAATGCTAGGCAAGTGCTCTCTACCAACTAAGACACATCCCCACCCCTCAGTATTAGTCCTCTTAGGAAAAGAACAGCCACAAAAAGATGGGTTGAGGGACTGAAGAGGAGAAAATACCTATCACCTTAATGTAATTTCTCAACAATGTAATTTTAAAAACCACCACCACAAAAAAGCGACACTTGTTGTCCTGTCTTACAAAGAGAGAATGAGAAACTGAATAAACATTAACTAGTTAGTCCTCCTGCTAATGTTTCAAAATGTACAGAAAGCATGCTGCTTGCCTATCATCTCTTACCGGAGAGATAGAAGTATCTTCTAATGTGAGTTCCTCAAGTTTAAGTGCAATTAGATTTGCTTCAAGTCCTTTAATATGATCCACAACGTTGGAAATTAAAGTCTGAAGTCCAGTAACATACTCTTGGAAACTGGTGAAGACTGGAGGCTGGGGTGAAGAAGATTAAAAAGTGTTACAATCTCTCTGAGCAGTTGTGTTTCCAGTACATTACGCTACCTTCCCACCGCCCAGTGTTTGATGCTGTGACCACAGGTATGGAACAACGGGATAGTAAGACAGTCTGAAATAACCAATTAGCTGCTAAAACACCGCCTTTGAACAGGAAAGAAAATACTGGTGGTTAACTTAGGAGCAATATTTAGGTTTAGGTTTTTTTCTCTTTGAAATGAATTTTTATTTCCTATTCTCCAGTATAGCTGGAGAAGAACTAGTAGAAAGTATGTTAGTTGTTTATGACTTCTGAGGGTGGGAAATGTAAAAAAACAGTACAGGATGGACAGGGAAACAAGGCTTTATTTTCAGGACTAGGGAGGCAGCTCAGTGGATAAAAAATTTACAAGGGTAGGATCCAGCAACCACATAAGTGCTGGCTGGAATCCTAACACTGTGGAGGCAGAGACAGGCACAAACTGGCTATCTAGACTAACCAAACTGGTGTGCTCTGGGTTCGAGTGAAAGACCCTGCCTAAATATGTAATGTGGAGGAGAGCAACCAAGGATGATATGACTCAACCTCTACCTCTTGCTTACATATTTGCATACTCACATGCACATATGCCATATATACATATGAATGGAAAACCAAACCAAAACATTTTATTTTCCTTTCCTTCTTTACATATGAGATTTCCAATATTAATGGAAGATAGAAGAATAATATTCTGAATTAAAAAAAAAAGATCTCGCTATATAGCCCTGGCTACCCTAGAATGAGTAAAACAAAGAAAGAAAGGAGAAAAAGAGAGCCAGGCATGGTGGCTCATACCTGTAATCTTAGCACCCGAGGTGGAGAAAGAAAAATCAGGAGTTCAAATTGTCTAAATTACATATGCAATTCAAAGCCAGATCCTGATGCAACAAAAATAAGTACCAGAAGAAACTTAAGTAGCAATTTGTTTAAGCATGAAAAGTCCTTTCTAAACATGACACATAACTAGAAACTATTAAAAAAGACTATCCTCTCCACTCTCCAAAAACAGAAACCATTTACTGAATAAAAAAGACAGAGGGCTGGAGAGATGACTTATAAACTAAGAGCACCAGATGCTCTTGCAGAGGACCCAGGTTAGAGATTTCTAGTGGCTCACAACTCTATTTAAAGGAGATCTGATGTCCTCTTCTAGACTCTGTGGGGACCAGGTATCAGGTGGTGTACATGCAAACAAAACAACCACACACTGAAAAAAACCTTTTTTAGAATCACTTGTGAAAAGAACAAACTGGATAACTTGTGCCCCTATAATAAAGTTGACACTAAGTGTTATGAAGAAAGAGCTGTTCTCTAAAGGCTCAGCACCATATAGACTTGAGAACACACAAACCATATGGCCAGTGCTGGGGGCAGGGTTATAAGGACACACTCGGTTCACTTCGGATCTAAGTCTAGATTCTAATAATTGCTCTACTTATAGTCAAGATATTATAAACCAACTACATATTCATCAAAAAATAAACTGTAGTTTATTAAATATGGAGAAATGACCAAAAAAGAGATAAATCTACATTTATTGACATAAAGATAGCCTAATATCCTAATCAAATACAAAAACAAAAGTCAAGTTACAGATTTTTATTTTTAAAAAAGTCTCATATAGCACAGCCTCTAGCTCTCTATGTAGCCAAGGATGGCCTTGAATTCTTTCTTGCCCTCTCTGCCTCCACCTGCTGAGTGCTATGCTCAATCCCGACCTTCTGCATAGCATGATCCTGACTTGCATTATCACTAACTTGTTAGCGGTGTTGTCACACAACTGAGAATATGGGTGATCTCTAGTCATATCTTCATGGGTTACTGTAATAATCAGAAAAACAACAATCCAGGTTTAGTGGCACACACCTTTAATCCCAACACTGTGGAGGCGGAGGCAGACAAATCTCTTTGAGTTTGAGGCCAGCCTGGCCCATACAGTGAATTCAAGGAAAACCCTGCCACAAACAAATAAACGAGTATGCGAATGAATATACAAATTAAAAAAAAAAAAAAACACACCTCAAAAGTCTTAAGTACTGGGTGTATTCTAGGATTGTACATGATTATTAGGCTTACTTTATGTGAGGTTTGTTTGGGGTCTTCTATGTAGCTTTGGCTGCTAGTAACTCTATGTAAACTAAACAGACCTCAGACTTGCTGGGGGATTTCAAGCATGTGTTGGCACAACAGTTCTGTAGGATGCCTGTGTGTGTACGCACATGAGTATGTGAGCTACATGTCTGGGTGTCCATGGACGCCAGAAGATGCTGTCTGATGCCCTAGAGCTAGACATGAAGAGGTTGTAAGCCATTTGGTGTAGGTGCTGAGAATCAAATTCTGTGGAAGCGCAGCAAGCTCTCCTAACCACTGAGCCAGCTCCCAAGCCCCATGTCTTATTTTTAATCACAAAAGGAAAGAACCACCTCTGCAATGAACCAGGGAGACACTTCCTTCATCCAATACTAAAATCTCAAGAATGGGACACAAACATTTAATGATTTAATGAACTAAAAAGGCAGTGCTCATGTCTAACCTAAATTTCTACATGTATCTAAGGAAATACTAAGACTCAATAGTGTGAATGTTGACATACACATGCCTTCACTCTTCAAAAACAGGCAAAAGAATAAGCACTATTCAGATGCAAGGAAGGTAGAGAGACAGCAACTAACAGCAGCATCACAGGAATCCAGCACTTTGAAAAAAAAAAAAAATAGCAAGGTCCTAGTTGGGAAGAATGGGTACTCTCAACTCTCAAGCCTTCCAAGAACATGCATAGGTTTCCTTTGAGCACATTGGGTACACAGCTCAGTGTCCTGAGCTTGTAGTATTGTTTCAGATGGATCAACTGACAAGACAGCAAATGTGGCCAATGATCAGGAAGCGGTCACTAGAGAAGGACCTTCATGGAGCCATTAGCCTGTCCCTGTTACTGTGAGGATGTAACTGGGGAAAGAGCTCTCAGGAGGGGGCAGGAAAGACTGTCTCAAAACCAACAAACACTTATAGTCCCAAGTACTGGGAAGACTGATAATCCAAAGTCAAGACAAGGCTAGGCAACAGAGTAAGGTCCTTTCAGAAAAGGCTGTGGGAGAAAAGGTGCCTCCAGAGCCCTGAACTCGCACAGCATGCAGACAAAGAAGAAGGAAAGGCAGCCGAGTTATTACCATGACGATGCTGGTCTCTTTTTTCTTCTTTTTCTTTTTCTGTATATTTAATTTGTATGGTCGCAGGACACTCTCACAGTAACTGGATACCCAAAGGATGATAGAGATTGTCTGAAAGAGGAAATGTGCAAATTAGTCAGTATGGATTACAGTAAAGTATGAAAACAGCAGCTAGACACAGACATGGCAACTGACAATTCTTCAGAAGACCACCAGACACCATGGAGATGAGAAAAGCCAACCAGGACTAAAAACTGTGAGCCAGAATGAACTTTTCTTCTTTTGAAGACGTGCCCTCATGCTACCTAGCCTCCTTATCCTTCCTGCCAGTTCTCATCTGCTAGACTCCATTGCACTTCACCTCTCTGCATGTTCCTTTGCTAAGTGTGACGTCTACATACTCCCCAGGGCTTGGGACCCCAGAACTCTCCACAAGCAGTCACTGGGACTCAACAGTGAACCTGGGAGTCCTCAGCTGGAAACACACCCTTGAGCATTCAGTTAGCTTCTGTTCCACAGTGTGGACCATGTGTGTGCTACAGTAACCACTCAGCACTTGCTGAGTAGCCCCTAGGCTCTCACCAGTCACCAGAGCAGAGCATACAGCCTCCAGGCCACAGGAAAAAGAAGGGAAAGATGGGTTTAAAAAAAAAAAAATGGGTATTGGATTCGGGAACACTCTACAGTTAAAAGTGCTGGTTGTTCTTGCAGAAGACCAGGGATTAATGCCCAGCACCCACAAGGCAGCTCATCACTGACTATGACTCCAGTTCCAAGGGATTCCATGCCCTTTGACCTTCTGCAGGTACCTGTGCACAAGGTACACATAAACTCATGCAGGCACACACATATACACATATTAATAAAAAAAATCACAACAACAAAAAGAATCTGGTTAAAAATAAAGAGTTTTGCTTCCAGGTATGTTGGCATGTATCTATGACTCTAGCACTTGGGAAGCTGAAGCAGGAGGACTCAGAGTTTGAGATCAAGGTCAGTCTTGAACTAATACCCTGTTTCAAAAAAGCAAAATGGGAAGAAAGTTATATTTTATCTCCTCCAGACTCCAGAATGTTAGGTAATTAGTAAAACAGCTGGAGGAATGAACTAAAGAGCCAGAGGAAATGGGACAAACTGACTTTGGGGGAGTCTCAGAGAAGAAGACTGCCACTCAGAAGCTGTCCCTAAGCACAAGGGATGAACCAGTTTAGAAAACAATGTGAAACTGCTTCTAGTGTCCCAAACAATCAGGTGAGAAAGGGTTAAGTGGCAGGTGTAAATCCCTGCCTATGCCCCTCAGGAGGACGGAGACACACCTCGACAAAGAAGACCAGATTCTCTAGGACAGCAGGCTGTGTCTTCACATTGCCATCTTTAACTTCTAAGAGCTCGCCTTTACACGTGCTGAAGACACCTGAGGGAGGAAACGGTTTTCTGCTTTTATTCTCCTTAACTTGCCATACATTTAGACACACAATGAAGAATCTGAAAATAACTGGTATAAAAACCAAAGCTAGATATGGTGTCATACCTTTAATCTCAGCATGGTAGGAAGAGGCAGCAGGCAGATCTAAGTTCAAAGCCAGACTCATACATACTAAGTTCCAAGCTGCACTATCCAAACTGCCCAGAGCTAGAAAGTGAGACCCTCTCTCAAAAAACAAACAAACAACAGCTACAATGGAATGGGACTGTAGCCAGCTTACCCGGCCAGCTCAAGATCCCAGAACCTATCCATAGTACCACCACCACCAAAAAAAAAAAAAAAACCAAAAAAAAAAAAAAACAAAAAAAAAAAAAACTCCCCCACCCCCAAAAAACAAAAAAAAAAAAAGCACCCAAACAAAAAGTCCCAGTGCATATGAAAAAAATGTCTTAACAATGATTTGTTCTGGGCTGGAGAGATAGCTCAGAGGTTAAGAGCACTGGCTGCTCTTCCAGAGGTCCTGAGTTCAATTCCCAGCAACCACATGGTGGCTCACAACCATCTGTACTGAGATCTGGCACTCTCCTCTGGCGTGTGGGCTTACATGGAGGCAGAATGCTGTATACATAAATAAATAAATCTTTAAAAAGAAAAAAAATGACTTATTCTGTAGTCTCCAAAATATAAAAAGTAGTCTTAAAAATGATACATGCTAGGCATCTAGCCATCAGCTAAGAGATGTGGAATATAGGTTACCATAATGTGAAGACTCAGTGAGTGGTTTGGAAGAACACCCTGACCTGAAAGTGTAAGTCCACTGTAGGAGAGCATCTACATGGGGCTGGAGAGATTAATAAAGTACTTGGATCACCCAGCAACCTTATGAAAGTGAGGCACAGCCGGGCGGCGCACGCCTTTAATCCCAGCTCTCGGGAGGCAGAGGCAGGCGGATCTCTGTGAGTTGACCAGCCTGGTCTACAAGGGCTAGTTCCAGGACAGGCTCCAAAACCAGAGAAACCCTGTCTCGAAAAACCAAAAAGAAAGTGAGGCACAGTAGTGAGCGCACATAGAAGAGTCTCTGGGGCTCACTGGCAGCTAGTCTAGGCAAATTCGTAAACTCAAGTAAGTAGCCTTGCCTTAGAGAGCATGGTAAAATGGACACTCAACTTTAACCCACACACACCCAGACACCATTAACACACATAAGTCACCCATGGCAACTGAGTATTAAATCTATACCATTAATAGTCTGGTCAACTGGGCCATAGCCACTTGCATCCCAACTTCTAACAGTTTTCAAGTACTTCTGCTGTGAATTTAACTTTAAGGCATGGTACTGTTGCATGCCTGTAATCCCAGCACTCACAAGGGAAAACGCAGGAGGATCACAAAGCCAAAACCATCCTGGACTGCAGAGTGAGTGTGAGACAAGCCTGGAATACACATAATGCCCATCTCAAACACTTAAAAACAAACAACTGTTAGTTTTGAATAGTGAAAATTTAGTTTTTTAAGGTTCCAAAAATATGAGCCGGGCAGGGTGGTGGTGGCACACGCCTTTAATCCCAGCACTCGGGAGGCAGAGTCAGGCGGATCTCTGGGAGTTCGAGGCCAGCCTGGTCTACAAGAGCTAGTTCCAGGATAGGCACCAAAGCTACAGAGAAACCCTGTCTCGAAAGAAAAAAAAAAAAAAAAAAAAAAAAAAGAGCCGGGCGGTGGTGGCACACGCCTTTAATCCAAGCACTTGGGAGGCAGAGGCAGGCGGATTTCTGTGAGTTCAAGACCAGCCTGATCTACAAGAGCAAGTACCGGGACAGCTAGGATTTGTTACACAGAGAAACTCTTGTCTCGAAAAAACAAAACAAAAAAGAAGATTCCAAAAAAATGTCAGGCAGTGGTGGTGCATGCCTTTAATCCCAGCATCGGCAGGTGAATCTGTGAGTTCAGTCTGGTCTCAGAGCGAGTTCCAGGACAGCCAGGGCTACACAGAGAAACCTCAACTCAAAAAAAATTTTAAAAAGAAAAAAAAGCTTATTATTTCCAAATCTTTGCATGTGTTTATATTATTTTTAAACACTGAGCTACTTTCAAACATGCATGCCCAATTCAGGAATCTGCAGTCAGAACTTACCTTTCAATAGTTCTAGTAAAGCTGCAAGACCATTTTCTATACGTTCCTGTATATCCAGTGTACCCTCTAAAATTGAAAAACAAACAACCAACATTCATTTTTGTAGAAAGATAAAGAAGCAGATTGGGCATGACTGCACATAGCTGTAATCTCAGTACCCAAGACACTGAGGCAGCAGAATTGAGTTCAAGGCCAGCCCACAAGCCATGGTGAAAACACCAGTGAGCTAGAAAAGGTATTTGTTGTCAAGCTTCCGGACCTGAATTTGACTCCTGGGACCCACATGGTAGGAGAAAATGGACTCCTATAAGTTGTCCGGTGACCTCTCTGTGAACGCTGCAGCACATCCATATCTGCACACTCGCACACAATAAACAATGAAAACTGCAATAACAGGTCTGGAGAGAGGGCTTAGGGCTGAGAGAAGTATATACAATCTCTCTCTTACAGAGAACCTGAGTTCAGTTCCTGGCACTCATTTCAGGAGGCTCACAACAGCTGTAACTCCAACTCCAGGGAAACTGATAACTCTGGTTTCTACAGGCACCTGCCATAATGTACATACCCCAACACACATAATTAAAAGCTGGGGCTGAAAAGATGATTCAGTAGTCAAGAGTACTGGCTGCTCTTGCAGAACCAGGTTCAATCCCCAGCACTTCGTGACTCACAACTGTTACTTCAGTTTCAGGAGATCTGACCAGGCCCCCCTCCTCCAACACACACTTCTGGTGTCTGAGGGCACAGGCACATACATGATGCACAGAAATGCACACAAGTAAAACACCCATATGCATAAAATAATAAAATAAAATAGATTTAAAGTAATAAGAATTCTAAAAGGCAATAGCAAACTCAGTATCAACAACCAAGTCATGAAAACAACATGCATGTAAACCCCACTACTGAAAGACATTCGCGGCCAAGGGGTTGGCAGGACAGTGAAGGGAAGAGGGACAATGACTGCTCCTCTAAGAACTATCTCAGGCTCTCTAGTAGAACTGGTCAGTTGTGTCCCAAATGCTGCAGATCTATCAGCTCTGAAGGAAGCCTAAGGGTGGGGGCTCAGCCTATGGTTATTTTTGATCCCCCATAAATTTAGAATCTCAGTAACCTTTCAATATTTATTCACTTATTATAATTTTTAATGATAAGAGTCTAATAAACACACGCCCGTGCACACTTACCTAAACCACTGGTATCGAGCTCATAGACATCATTGACAAGGTGAAAGGAGCGGACCAGGCACTGACAGCAGCCAGAACTAAAGAACCTGCCCATCCTGGTGGGGACAGGCCCAAGGAAAGGATACTGAAAAAAGAGGAAAAAAATCATACCCTTAATTCGCAAAAAGTGTGAAAACAGGACTTGTTTGGATAAAACGTAACAAAAATTCACTAATAAGAAAACTGGTAACCAACTCCCACAGTTAACAGCAAAAGGGCATGTGTATTAGTGGAGCATGGTGGTGTGTGCCTGTAGTCCCAACACTGAGGCAGAAAGACTTGAAATTAAAGGCCACCCAGAACTATACACCAAAACCCCATCTCAAAAAAAGAAAAAAAGAAAAAAAACCTCAAAATGTTGTTTTGCTTTTCCTGACTGATGAGTCTAGACAGAGCAAAACCCTGAAATGGCTCAAGACCATTAAATCCTTCTTTCTCACAGTGCCACAATTTGAACAAAATGTGCTCTTCATTATGCATTAAAAGACAATTGCTGAAATAATTATTGAGCCTCTGATAGCAAATACTTGTTGATACCTGAATTTCCTTCTCAATAAACCGCTTCCCCGTCTCCACGGCCACTTCTAGCTGTTGGAGGAGCAAACGAAGAATGTCAATCCGGGAGGATACACCATTCTCCGAGGTCTTCTCTGAGTTCTTTGGCTCCACAGGGTGGGTAAGATTTGGAAGTCCACTGATCAGTCTCAACGTTAAGGTGCGAATTCTTAACCACATGGTCTCCTCCTCCAAGGAGAGTTTCTTATGCTCTTCAGAAACATTCCTTAAACAAAAACATCCCCAGACCATCCATTTTACTCAGCCTGTTGCCTTCAAAGCTTTGAGCATTTGCTTTCACCCATCAAGAAACCTCAGTACAATTTCTGCCTCAGGCCAAACATCTGATTGCTGCCTGCTTCACCAGGTAATACGCTGGCCATGGCAACCATACCAACAGGCCATCTCCCCACTCGGAGTATCTGCTCTGATTAAAACACGAGTGACACAAAAAAGCTGAAATGCCAGAAAAACAAGTGGTAATAAAGAACCCAGCTACCCAAACACTCAAGAGTCCACAAACTCACACAAACCCCTTCAGACTTCTCTATACAAAAGTTATATAAGTATATAAACTGTACTGGGGCTCAATTTGTTGGCACAGAATATCCTTACCATTTGCAAGGTGTATTCCAAATAGCACCAAAAAAATTACATATATGCAAACATATATATTATACATGTATTTGGTACATATTTTATATACATACATACATACAGGGTCCTGCTAAATCCACATGTCTTGTCTTTCTAAGTGCTGGGATTAAAGGCATAGATGGCCAACCCAACTGATTTGTACTACTTTTGTACTGTATTTATTTAATGGCAGAGGATCTATTTGCAAGGATAGCCTTCAACTGATGCCTGACAGCTTGTACTCCAATCATCACTTAACAAGAGCAGCTCTTGTGGCCAAACTATAAGAACACACCACTTGTGTATGGTGAACAACTTTTCTGCTGGAAGCCTGGAAGCTTGGAGCATGCTGAACAGAGTATGATGTAGCCAGCTGCTAAAAACCTTGGACACTGAGCATCCAGCTGCCCTAAGCAGAAACAGCACAAACTGTGTGATGGCACCATTTCTCTCCTAGATGATACCCCCTCAAGTGGAGGGAGGAGAAATCAGTGTCCCAGGCTGGGCCTATCCTACCATGTAGTTTTTGCTGGGGTGAACCCTAGTGCTGCAGTACAGGAACTACACAGTCTTTCTGCCAGTTTACTCGGTGAGTCATGGCAACCTACAAATCAGTATTCAAAGACCTCTCATACAGGGCTTACATTACATGCCTATGCACTAGCTTCCTACTACAGACCCTAAAGTCAATATGCTGTATTTTAAGTACGGAAATAGATTATCAATTCCATATAAATTTTACATGTCAATTAAAAACGACAATAATCATGTTCCCACACAGCCAATGTTGACCACAGATGTTCATCCCTAGAAAACAAGTCCTGGTGGTAGTAAGCCTCACCTAAGTAGTTCCTAGTTGCTGATTTTGCTCACTATGAACTCTTTATAAAGGAGGTCACTACAAATGAAGAAATGTGTATTTAATATTTAATTTTTTTTTTGAGTTAGGGTCTCTTACAGCCAAACTTGCTATATATTCAAAGATAACCCTGTACTTCTGATCCTTCTACATCCCTGCCTCTCAAGTTCTGGGATCCAGCAGTATGCCACCACATCAGGATCTATGCCTTACTATCGTCTAGTGAATCCCATTCCAACCTCTTCACAACTTTTGTGGGCACAACTCCTTATATTCCTTTAAAAAAAAAAAAAAAACTTTTAATTTCCATGCCTATACTGGAGAGGGCAGTGGGTTCCCTGTACTACTACTACCTCCCTTCATACCATGTCTCCTTGGACTGTCACCCTTTGAGCTGCCTTGCTTATCTTTATGCCCCAGCTCCAATTCCAGGGCCCAATGTGGTAGGCATACTGTGTTTGTGGAATTGAGAGCCCTGCCTGTGGCTTCTGTCACTATTTACCCTTCCTCTTTACATACTTTACGCATGCACGTGGAGGCCAGAAAATGGTTTTCTTCTCCACCAGGAAGGTCCCAAGAATTGAACTCAGGTTGATGGCAAGACCCTTTAACCACCGAGCTATCTTGCTGGCCCCCCTGGCCCCTCTGAAGACAGGACATAAAGGCTAGCAATCTGAAGTACGCTCAAGAGTATGGCAAATGCAGATCTTCTGGTGGCTGAGAAATTGCTTTTCAAAGAATCACAGGATGGTCTTGTGATTATCTCATTGATATAGGGCTTGAACATGCTGTGTAGCTGGGATGACCTTGAACTCCTGATTCACCTGCCTCTTAAGAGCTGGAATCACAGACAGGTGTACACCAGCAAGCCAGACTCTCGGACAGATATTAAACCAAACTGCTGGTTATTCAGCAGATAAACTGGATCCAGAGAGTTTACTGTCCAGGCCACAATTAGTCACAAAGGGAGTACAGTTCTCACCCCCACTGCTCTGGACTGCTAACAGTTTTTTCGGCACCCAAAAACACAGGGCGTTTGACCTCTTCACAGGGATATGACCAGAGAGATACTGAGAAGCCATCTGAGAGAAGCAACAGGACATGAAGCTTGGCGGAATTAAGTTAGGGGACAGCTAAGGGGACAGTAAATAGACACTATGGTACATTCACTAATTCTTCTCTGTCAGGGGTTCTCCCTTTTTCCACTCACTATCACCAGTGAGAAACTTGAGTGCCCGAGTACACACCAGAAGTCTGCATCTTCACCTCAGTAGCCACAAGTCCATGAGAAATAGGCAGAGCAGAGGGCAGCACATGATTTGTCCTTCAGTTTTTTGACTTGCCAGGGCTATTCATGTTTGCATGTGGCTTAGAATAGAACACCAATTAAGTATTTTTAAGTTTTTTTTTCCCTGAAACAAAATCATACTGTGTAACCCTGGCTGTCCTAAAACTGATTGGCCTCAGAGTTCTGCCTACCTCTGCCTCCAGGTGTGAACAACAACACCTGGCTAATAAACACTGATATGATTACAACATTTTGTACTGTTAAAAAGAAATAAGTAATTCTGTATACAAATACCACACACATGCACAAACACATGCATATGTGCACATGTGCACACACACACCCCTGTCAATGTGCCATAACCCTTTAGAACCTAAGGGAGATTACAAGCCTCTATGAAGTGCTAGAAAAGCCAGTATCACATAAAAATATTTTCTACCTTCCTCTCAGATGACTAGGGAACTGCATCCTGCACCTTGAATCACCTGAAAGTCATACATGCCATGAACAGGCCTAAACTTAGCAGGCCCAGCACTGAGGTGGGATGTGCTGTGCACTTACTTGTGCTCCAACAATGAACATGTATATTTGTGTAAAAGAGAAATTTTTAAAAAGTTTTAGATGCACGCTGACTCTTCAGAGCTGAGCTCCTCATACCTGTCCTTTGGATCCCAGCTAAAGAAAACATCCAAGTCTCTGTTGTCTCGCAAATCTTCCCATGGAACATCATCTTCCTCTGGCCTCAGGTTCATCGATTTGATACTTTCTGCCAAGCTAGTTGATCTGTAATACAGAAAGTTTGCTTTGACTGTACCTGTGCATATGTGCACGCATGTGTTATATGTTGCACATGCAAGAAGACTGTGTCACTGTGTATGCCTGGGGCGACCAGAGGTTTACATCAGATGTCCTGCTCTGTTTGTCTCTATTTTATTTTGGAAGATAGATTATCTCACCAAACCTGGACCTCACTGATTGCCTGGCTGGCCAGTGAATCTCAAGGATCCTTCTGCCAGCACTGGGCCTCCTGGTTGGGATTACAGGCGTGCACAGCCATGCTAGACTTTTTACTTGGATGTTGGGGATTGGAACTCCAGAGCTATTTATCTCCCCAGCCCTAAGGTCTTATTTCTATAACAATATAATTATAACAACATTAGCTAGGACTTTCTTTTACTGGAAAGAAAGGTTTTACATTAGAAAACAAGGTCTCATATAAGGTCAAATAGAACTGAGACAAGTTATCACAGCAAGCAAAAGCTTTTTGGAGTTCAGCAGAATACAGTAGACAAGCACCTGCCCTGTTCCTGAAGCCTATCTAGAGAGGAAGGGGAAGCTCTACTGGATCTGAGAGTCTCAGCTCTCCAGCATTCTCCATGACAGGGTCAAGGCTCTGTGTCTCCATTTGCAGCTTCTTCTCTTCTCATCCTCCATTTACCCTTAACTCAGCTACTGACAGCTAAGACCATCTGATCTGGCCCCTTGGTCCCACTTGGCCTCTCATCACATACTTACATGTTTGCTTCAAGAAGAAGGTCTAAGAGCATCCGTTCAGTGCGCACTTGTGCAAAGTGGAGAGAATTATTCAGCCTGTTCCTAAAAGCGATAAACTCTGGAATCTTCTCAAATGCACCGTATTTGTAAGCTTGAATAATGTATTCTGAGGTCTGAGAAGGAAAGACACCACCTTGGTATAAATACTCCACAGGTCAGGCAATGTAAGCAAAGTTTGCCAGCCAACTAAATATTCAAACTACAACCAAGGCTCTGGTCCAGGCTCAGAAGGTCTGGCCACACAGGGCAGTCCCAGCCATGAATGAATAACACTACTTTTATTTCCTTCTGGAGATGAGTCAAATGTCTCCTCCACTACATTGCTAGCCTGAGGTGGCTACAGCCATCTCCAGCCATGTCTTAGCACTCATGTCATTCATGACAGCAGGACTTAGAGGATGTTCTATCACAACAGCCAAAAATTTGGCAAATGCCATTCTGGAATGGAGCTTGTGTATCCTACAATCCTAACACAAACTATGCTCTGTAGAAAGCATTCAAAGGCGCCATAACTACACAGGCATACCCCATGGGCCCCAAATGAAACCCTCTCCTTCAGAAAGTGACTGCTCCTTGGGTGGTTCTCTCTCAATATGGTACCAGACACAAGGCAGATAAGCTTCTCAGAAGGACAGAAGACACCAAACAACAAGACCCATCAACAGGAATGCCATCTACTCTGAGGAAGATGTCAAGAACCAAGATTCCTGAGCACACAAAACTGCTAGAAATCACCATAGACAACTAAGGGAAGGCAGCGCTCACACGTGTATTTTAGTTACAGATTAAAATCATCAGATGAAATGCTGCAGAACAGAGGCAGGACAAAGAATTCTTCATGAAGTACTGGTGCAACAGAAGCAAATCTCAGGAAAGAACATTTCACAAAGTGGGTCGAAGCCACCAGGATCAGAAAAGAGATCAGCCCTGTGGGCCAAGGAAGTGTTTAGCTCAATGCTGATGTCTGCCTCAAGACATTTTCTGGAAAGCCTTTTGCCTAGCCTTAGTTTGCTTGCTCTGCCCCCATTTCCACTATGCCTGAGTAATTTGCCCAGTAGAAAAATAGGCCAATAGTCAACAACATACCCTCTGATACACAGCCTCGCAGGGTTCATTTCAGGCCGTGGGGTTGCACCACGGGCGCTAAGTCAACTGCTTTCGATGCGGCTTTTAAACCCCCAGGGGACACCTCGGCCAGCTGTTTGCCTGCAGTATCTGGAGAGATTAAAGACGGACGGACACAAGAAAATTAAAAAGATTACGTGTGATCCTGTGGGTTTAGGATTACCTGCCAGCTTGACTGAGGACAACTGCATGCCCCATCAAGAGGCCCACACTTATCACATCCTTCTCTCCTACAGTCCCCAACTTAGAAGACACAGCAGAGTTGGCTGCTGACCCTTGAAATGGGAACCTACAGCTTGACAACACTTCCAATAATTCAGGATAGAAATAGGACTTGGAGTGGTTCTAGACAGAATGTAGTTCCAACATGAGACCCAGCCTTCCCTCAGTGGGAGCCTCAGTGTCTAAGTGGCCCATGGAACTTCACTTGTGAAAAAGACAACAGCTTTTCAAAGAGAGAAACAAGGGGCAACCAGGAGATAAGTATAGTTTGTAACAAGCCAGGAACAGCTGCAGTTTGTCCATCTGCCTGAGATAGTCCTTAAATGCCACAGTAAAGTGACTCTGCAGAGCTAGCCAAGGGCCCAGGGAGTAGTATCAGAAGGTTGAGAACATCACTGATGAGGCCTTGTACCTCATGGAACGCACCCAAACCAGAAGCCACAGGCACACTAAAGACTACTGACCAAAGTGTGCATCCACAGCTACTGCCATTCATTTGTGCACCAACGAGGCTAATTAGATGCCCAAAAGACCACTGAAATGAACCCGAGTCGCTGTGAAAATTAGTAAAATACATGGGTATTAGACCTTTAAAAATGACCTTTATTAATACCTAGATTTCAAAAAGAACTTTAAAAAGATTTTTATTATTTTTATTTCTGTGATGTGTGTTTGGGCAGATCCCCTGGACCTAGAGTTACAAATGGTCACGATCTGCCTGATGTAGACTCAGGTCCACTGCAAGTCCAGGAGTTCTTCACCGCTGTACCATGTCTCTGTCACCAAAAAGCAAGCTTTTAAAACCATGAACATTTAAGTGACTTTTGACAATGAGGAAACCTAACACTGATTCCCAAGTAAGATGACAACAGACAGACATCCAAAGATAATTTTCAACCCAAAGCACAAAGCCCCTGTACAACAGAGTGTTTGTTATTGAAGAAGTGCTAAGTTGAAGAATTAGAAATGAAATACCTTAGCCGCCTAAGAGAAAAAGCACTTGGGACATCCCCAAAACCAAAGAATGAAAGCTGCAAAACATGGAGTTTGGGTTTTGCAGAGATAACAGGTGCAGGGTTCCATTTCCTTACTGGGGACACAGGCACAGCTGCCTCAGGTCAGGTTAGAATGGTTAAAAGTGGCACTGGTATAAACTTAAGGAGGGGGACTGTTACTCCCTGATCAATAAGATGCTAACCATTTATCAGGCTCAATATCATGCACATTTAGCTGCATAAATCAGCTATTCAATGATTCATAATCAACTATTAGCAAAACACTGACCCCTCTAAGGACAGGCAAGAAGATAGAGAGGGAGTTTAGAGCCAGCCTCACCTACACTGCAAGGCCCTGTCTCAAATTTTAAGTCTTCAGTAAATGAAATGTCTTTAACCTCTTCCTTATAAATATAGGAAGAAGAGATAAAATAATGAGACTTGAGGAAACAGTTTTCAAAAACTGTAAATTCCTTGAAAAAAAGAGGAGGGTAATCACAGATTCACTCAAATGATAGTTACAGCGGGCATTTCACCCAGTGTCTGAGACAAGGTTTCTACTTCTATGCCATGCTGGCACCTTGAAAGCAACAGGCTTAGATGCAGATACCCTCTTCTCTTTCATCAGGAAGAAAGTCTCCACAGATACCAATCCCTTCCGTTGGTGGTGAGGGCTGAGACAGAGGGATTAGCCTTCTCCGGGATTGGAGTTGTCCTCTGCTACAGCACACCTACAACTCAAAACACAGACTACTCAGAAGCGCCTCTACTCTACTTCTCTAGTCTCCAAAACAACTCTCAAGAAACAAGTGGAAGACAGGAGTGACTTTAAAGCAAAGGACTCAAGAGTATTGTCAAGATAAATCTCAGATGGTGACTTCCTCAAAAAACTCATTATCAAGAGACCAATAAAATGGAAAGCTACAGGCTGAGGCTGGCATAGCCAAACTCCAGGAAGTAAGGCTTAGTTAGCCACCACACAGGAAGGACAGCAGCAAGGGCCACTCTTACAACACACCTTCTCTGAACACAAGCTCCCGGACAGTTTTGTAAACCATCAGCTGAGAGCACCTGGATGCCCTGAGACCTTCTTTAACCCAATGAGCACAAGTGAGCAGCAGGGTGAGTGCACTCAGTCCACCCTCACCTCCAAGGCAGCTCTAACTCACTGCTCCTTAAATGTAGTAGGGGTGGCTGTTGGTTGGTACCTCTTGCTGCTAATCTTGAAAAGTCTCTGAATAGCATTTGAAACAAAGTTGGCAGACAAAAGACTTCTTAGTCTCTTAATGCCCAGTTAGAAATGTAAACTTCCAAGGATTCAATTATATGCATGCACACTGAACAAATGCAAATAGCTCTACATATGGTCTAGGATGATTAAACTCAGCTTAAGGGCACCTGCCAGCAACAGAGCATGGTGTCATGTGATATGCATGTTGTGACCCTAGGGGGGTGCACTCTGAACCATGTCAATCAGCAGTAAATTACAGCACCAATGGGTTTCACTTACATCTTTCTGGTTGGAGTGGAAAAACCTGAGTGCGAAGTTACAGGACTGGGAGGCAGCAGCGTACTGACCCAAGGATGCAGCGTATCGGGTCAGAAGATAGCTAGGTAGGAAGGAAAGAAAAAACATGTCACAGTTACCTCATTCTACTGTCAAAATATTAAGTGCCAAGAAAGAGCAGGGCATAAAAGAAATCAAACAAAAAACACTGCCAGTGGAATGATCTAGTTCACAGGATCAAATTAAAAGAAAGTGAAAAGAGTTCTTTCTTTACACCTGACAATAAGAGAAAGAAACATAAAGCTGGTCAGAGAACATGGTGTTCTCTTCCTAAATGTGAATAGAAAATGTCCATTAGTAATTGCATAGCACAGCCAAAACTCAAAGGGATACTTTGGGTCAGTGCCAACAGCAGAGAAGTAGCAACTTCAAAATAGAGTGTGCATGATTGGAGCTGTAAACTCTGTAATGCTTGGAGATATAAGTCCCTCGTGCTTTGCAGAGGGTCACAGTAGTGACTGGTGTCTAGAGTGCTGTTTTGTTATCACCTATAAGTGAGCTTCCTAGGCTGTCTGCACAGTATTCAGAGTATATACTACCAACCCAATGGTGTCGTGCTGGATATGCTTAGCATCAAGGCTGGAGTAAAGATCCACCACTGGCTCAAATGCACCCAGCATGCAGTAGATTCGAACAAGCAGCAATTTGAACTGAGCATTGGATGGGCTATGGGTTAAGCCTTCTTCTAGCAGAGTCAGGGCCTGCCACACAGCAGTCTCCTCACCTAGAATCAAAACACATCATTATCCACTCATCTTTAGGGAACCTGCCGAAATCAATCACCTGCCTTGACTAGTCTTTGAATAATTTTGGATGCATACAAATTTTAGATGGAGACCTGCAATCAAAACAGGGGATTCCCTTGATTACAAAGCCCTTCAATAGTTCTATCAGTAATTAAACACAGCTGTGCAAGAAGACGACGTGTAGATCTAGAGAGGGAAATCATGGAACCTCACAGAATCTTGGATTCTGAGAAGAGAGGGACTTAGAAGAACTAGAATCTGCTAGCTGCCCCCACCCCTGCAGCATTGTCCCAAGACCCAAAAGTTATCATTTTTATTCCATACACAATCCTACTAATATTACATTTGAGGGGGCTGGAGAGATGGCTCAGTGGTTAAGAGCACTGGCTGCTCTTCCAGAGGACCTGAGTTCAATTCCCAGCAACCACATGGTGGCTCACAACCATCTGTAATGAGATCTGGCGCCCTCCTCTGGCATGCGGGCATACATGGAGGTAGAATGTTATATACATAATAAATAAATCTTTAGAAAAAATACTACATTTGATACTGTAAAAAATACAAAACAAAAAACTGCTATTAGGACTAGAGAGATGGCTCAGCAAATAAAAGTGCTTGCTGCCAAAGCCTGCAGCTGAGATCAATTCCTGGGTCCCACAGGGTAAAAAGAGAGAAATGACTCTGGCAAGTTGTCTTCTGACACGTGACCCATGGAACATCTGTGTCCACATGTCACACACAAACACACGGAATTTAATTAAAAAAATAAAGAAGCTTATGTGGTGGCGCACACCTTTAATCCTAGCACATGAGAGGCAGAAGCAGGCGGCTCTCAGTTCTAGGGACAGTCTGGTCTAATATTGAGTTCCAGGCCAAGCAGGACTACAAACTACAAAGTGAGACCCTGTCTCCGAGAGAGACAGAGAGACAGAGAGACAGAGAGAGAGAGAGAGAGAGAGAGAGAGAGAGAGAGAGAGAGAGAGAATCTTTTATGTGTGTGGTTTTTGGAGACAGGCTTTAGCCCTGGCTGTCTGTCCTAGAACTGACTTTGTAGACCAAGCTGGCCTCAAACTCACTTGCCTCTGCCTCACAAATGCTGAGATTAAAAGCATGCACCGCTGCCACCACCACCATCTGGCAGAAAAATCATTTTTTAAACATTAATAAATAAAAAGAGGGTTTTTGTGTTCTGTGGGTTTGCCCATCTGCCTTTAAATCAGTGTGGTTATATCTTAAGTCTAGTTTTAAATCAGAGTGATCATTCATTATGCAGATAAATTTAGAAACCAATGAGATAGCTGCTGAGTTGGGCCCAAGGTTCAGTGCTAAGAGTTTCCACAGTGTGGCCTCCATCTGCAGCAAACCCCCATGGAGGTGACACTGGTGTCCTTACCTGCTTCTCTCCATATATCAGTGAGCACATGGACAGCGAGGAGGCAGTAATAATCAGAGAACTGCAACTCTGTCTTCAAACAAGAGCGCCCTAGGGGAAGGATTTAAAAAAAAAAAAAAAACGACTATTTTTAATAATTACTCATAAAGTGCTGCGACAGGAGACTTTTGTTTACTTTTTAAGGAAGAAAAATGATAGGCAGAAAAAGAGGAAAAGAAAAAAGAAAGTAAGAATAGGATGAGTAAGCCGGGCAGTGGTGGTGCACGTCTTTAATTCTGCTCAGGAGGCAGAGGCAGACAATCTCTGGAGTTTGAGGCTGACCTGGTCTGGTCTACAGAGTAAGTTCCAGGACAGCTAGGGCTAGACAGAGTAACCCTGTCTCGAAAAACAACACAAAAACAAATAAATAAAAAAGAATAGGGCCTGTACCGAAGAAAAATACAAGCCATAAAAACGGGATGTAGCATGAAGATAAGTACGTGCTTAGCATGCACAAGCAACTGGCTTCAATCCCTGGCAACACAAAAGGGGGCAAGAAAAAAATGGATGTATAGAAGGAAGGGAGGTGAGAACACAAACCAAATCGCTTATAAGTCACACTAAGCTGGAACAGAACATTCCAGAGGAGAAGGTGCATACACCAGTCTTTACAAAGAAGTCTGAGGTGAAGAAAAGAACCAGAGCCTCAGCTTAATTAATGCTATATTAACCCTCCTACCAAATGGTTCTTAAAGCACAGTGGTGCTCAAGTGACACCTCTTCTGAGTGGCCTACAGCCAGCCAGCCAAAGTTCCTGCTTCTGCACTGAACATTACCTTACAATTCACACCACACTACTCTGCTTCCTGCAGTGTTGTGAAGACATAAGGCCACAGCTCCCAAGCGCAAAAATCCACACAGGTCATACAACTTGTTTGAGAACCATGGAATAGTCTGGCTGCTCAGGAGGAGCAAACAACACCTGTTAGACTAACTAGGTTTCTGAGAATAACTCAGACTGAGGAAGCATTCGATAAAATGCCCAGAATGTGCACTAGAGGAGTGTGCTCTAGGTACTTTACATACTGACTTCTCGGTCTTAGCAGAACTGGCAGGAGGGTGGGGAGGACATGAGCAACACACACATCTGAATGGCTACTCACCAAACTCCAGTCCGTGTTGGTACCTTAACATCAACTCTCTGACCACACCCAGCTTCTGGTTCTTATCCATGATGTGGTACAAGCCAAGGAGCCTTGTCAGCTGCACGACACACAGATGCTGCTGCAGGGCACGGATGTCACCTGGCAGGGCAAGTTTGTCCTCTGTTGGTGTTGACAACGGAACAACTCCAAGAAGCTGATTAATGAACTGCAGAGAGGAAGAACAAAGGCCACACAATGCAGATGTGTTTGGGACACCTGAGATGCTCTATGGGATTCCTGTACCAGCTATCTCTACCCCCGACAGCTATTGTCCAACCTCTAGCTCGCAAAGACCAGGTATGGTGCTACACGCCTAGATCATGCATGGCTATGCAAACTGAGCCACAGGAGATCCTCCCACCCCTTTACTTTTATTTTATGTGTGTGGATGTTTTGCCTGTACATGTGGTGTGTACTACATTACATGTCTTCATGGAAGCCAGAAGTCGTCACCAGATCAATGTACACATAATTGTGAACCACCAAGTGGGCGGTAGGAATTGAACCTGGATTTGTGTGAGAGCAGGCAGCACTCTTAATCGCTGAGCCAATCTCTCCAGCCCCCAAAGACCTCATCTTTAATGCTTATGGTCTTCCCTTCTGCATGTTACAATTTACCCAAGAAGTCATACCCCTGAACTCTGTACATAAACACTGCAAAAACAGCTCCACTTAGATAACAAGAATGAAGAGTCTTTCAGAACTCAATTGAGACTAATAGATCCTTATTAGTTAGGGAGCTGGGATTAAAGGCATGGACCACACCTGTGTCCTAGATGAGTCACCTAAGTCTGTCAAAGTACTAAGTCCTGGTGGAGTGAAGATACAGTCATTCCACTGTGCTCAGTCCACTTTACTCCTCATGGGCACAGAAGGCTTTATGGTAGGCCACATGGCAGCAGCCCTGGCACAATAAGACTTCCAGTCATCAAGCTTTGCCACAGGGTTACTAGTAAACCAGTGGATGGCAGATACGGGTTTATTCATGCCTTTATCTCTGCACATACTATCCTATCCTACCTCGGTCACATTGCTCCCCAGTAGATAAAGGACTCCAACTGCCTATGACCAAAGTCAGCTCTGGAACATGCACCAAATACTTCTGAGTATGAAACAGTCTAGGGAAGTGGATCTCAACCCCTTTGGGGGTCGTATATCACATATATACTGATGATTCATAACAGTAGCAAAATTGCAGTTATGAAGTAGCAATGAAATAATTTTATGTCTGGAAGTCACCACAACACGAGGAACTGTATTAAAAGGTCACTGTGTTAGAAGGTTGAGAGCCACTGGTCTAGGGAAATCCTATGTATGGCTCTCCAATCTCCAATGTGTGAAGACACAGCAAGATATACATGCCACACAAGTGCCAGAGTAGCTTGACTTGAAACTGCTCAGCCTCTAGATGACATCAGTCAGGTGTAAAGGCTCACACCTGATCCCAATGTTTGAAGGCAGAGGAAGGAAGACCCTGGGCCACATGATCCTTCACAGAAAAATTAAGATCCTATTGACAGGTGAGAAACCTGAGCCAGGTGAGATGTCCAAGTGTGATTTTCCACTGGTTCTAGACCTCACCAAGCACTGTGGCTGCAAGGCACTTAATATATCGCCTTTCCTGCACTAGTGTACATGCATAGATACTCTGGACACTAACAGAACTCTGAGAGACACGTACTTGTGTGCATTGGGCAGCAGGCAAGAGGTCAACAAACACCTTCAGGTCTGTGAAGCAACATGGCTTATCCCCAAACTTCTTGAAATACTGGAACATTAACTCTTCTGGGTCACCTTCAAGAGAAGACACTATATTACTCATTACTCAGACTGGTCTGTTTCCTTCAAATTAACTTTGCCTGCCGGGCGATGGTGGCGCACACCTTTAATCCCAGCACTCAGGAGGCAGAGGCAAGCGGAGCTCTGTTGAGACCAGCCTGGTCTACAGAGCTAGTTCCAGGATAGGCTCCAAAGCCACAGAGAAACCCTGTCTCGGGAAAACAAACAAACAAACAAACAAACAAAAAATTAACTTTGCCTGAAGCCAGTCACAGTAGCACACACCTTTAAGTCCAGCACTCTCTGTCTCAAAATATAAAAGACAAAACACAATAAAAGATAAAGAAATAAAGAGTTAAATATGGTGTTGCTAGGTGGTGGTGGCACACACCTTTAATCCCAGCATTGAGGAGGCAAAGGCAGAAGAATCTCTGTGAGTTTGAGGACAGCCTGGTCTATATAGTGAGTTCCAGGACAGCCAGGTATTCACAGAGAAACCTGGTCCCAAAAAGACAACAATTATGTATGGTGGGCACACCTGTAAACCCAGCATTTGGGAGGCTGAGACAGGAGGGTCACTTTAAAAGTTATTCTCAATTTTACAGCAAGTTCCAGGCTACCCTTCCCACCTTCAATAAATAAATAAATAAATAAAAATAAATAAATAAGTGAAAGAATAAATGAATGGTAGGCTCACACTGGGAGGCTGAGTTCCAGGTAAATTTGGGCTACTGAATGAGATCCATTCATAAAAAAAACGCAAATCAGAAAGAATACTCATATACTCTGAGAAATATTCAGAAGGGCAGGACTGGAAATTTCTCTTTAAGACCAGATGGACTAAACAGATACACTAATATAAAAAGCTAAGTTGATTGGGGCAGGGAATGGGAAGAGAGGAGGGAAGGGCGACAGTGGTTGGTATGTAAAATAAATAAAATGAAGCCAAACGGAATATGTGTGGAAGATGGATTTTTCTGTAAGCAAGCCATCTTTAGTAATTATTTTCAGATAATAAGCTCATTGATAATGAGGACTGGTCAAGATCTGAAGCGTATCCCTCATCTTCTCTAGTGCTCCCCAATGTCCAATGATTCTTACCCAGTTTGTACTCGTCATTACAACCTTGGCTTCGCAGGCGCCTGATGAGCTCCAACTTAGCAAGGTGTGGGCCTCGGACATGCCTGGCATTTTGTGATGCCTCCATTATCCGATCCTCTATAAACTTCACAGCATCTTCTGCAGAGCAGTGTACTTCCCCTTCTAAGGAGCTGAAGGAAACACAAGGCACCATTACTGCCTCCAACAGGCTCCACAAAGTTGAAGCCAAGCGAGACTGATCTTAAGAAACCGTAGTTTGCTATCTATAAACAACAAAAACAGCAATAAAAGAACAGTGACAGAGTGTGGTAGGTGCCACAGCTACAACCCACGCCTCTAGCAGATAGCAGGAGACTAAGCAAAGGTCAGCAATGGCTGCACATGAAGACCTTGCCTCAAAAAGTCAAGGGCTCCAAGTACCTGGGAGGAAGAGTCAGACAGATCTCTATGTGTTCTAAACCAGCCAGGTTTACACAGTTCCAGAACAGCTAGGGCTAGAGACCCTGTCCCAAACCCCACCCCCCTAAAAAAAAGCAAATGGCTAGCAGTGTGGATTAGTGAGAAATCACTTGCTTCACATGATTAGAGGGCTAGGAAGTCCTTAGCAAGGCAGTGAAGGGGCGCAACCCACACGAGGTCAAGCAGGTATGAGAAAGCCATGAGCCTGATCTAAAAAGTAACAAGCTATAAAATTCTTCTTCACTTTGACTTCTGAATACTGTAGATTAACAAATCACCCTCACCTCTTTAAAGGTGGCAAGACGGTTCAGCAGTCAAATTGCCTCTATGAATGAGGACCCACATAGTAGGAGAGTACTCACTCCCACAAGGTGTCCTCTGACCTTTGGGGTGGCACACAAGTACACACACAAATAAATAAAGCTTTTTTGTTGTTTTGGTTCGAGACAGGGTTTCTCTATGTCACCCTGGCTGTACTAGAACTCATTCTGCAGACCAAGCCAGCCTTGGACTCAGAGATCCACCCGCTTCTGCTTTCTCGGTGCTCCAAGTACTGGGACTAAGGGTGTCGACCAATATGCCTGGTTAAATGAAGCTTTTACAAAAATTGTTTTTTGGCCAGAAGGTGGTGGCCCCTACCTTTAATCTCAGCACAGAGGAAGCAGGTGGTTCTCTGAGTTCGAGGCCAACCTGGTCTACTGAGTGAGTTCCAGGACAGCCAGGGCTACTAAAGAGAAACCCTGTCTCCAAAATACAAGCAAAGCAAAGCAAAACAAAACAAAAACCCTGTTTTTTAAAGATTCAATATTTTTTCTTCATATCAGCTATAAAAGGGGGAAAGAAAAATTTCTGCTAATAACCTAACTGCAATCAACAGCAGAGACATTAATGGATCAAGAAACATCTCTGAGGGCTGGAGAGATGGCTCAGAGGTTAAGATCACTGACTGCTCTTCCAAAGGTCCTGAGTTCAATTCCCAGCAACCACATGGTGGCTCACAACCATCTATAATGAGATCTGGTGCCCTTCTCTGACAAGCAAGCATACATGCAAGGAATGTTGTATACATAATAAATAAAATAAATCTTAAAAAAAAAAAAAAGAAAAGAAACATCTCTGAAAGATAACTCTTGAGCCACTCAAAAAAAAAAAAAAAAAAAAAGAAACAGACTTACATCTACCACGTATGAAAGAGCCTAAACATATTTAGGGAGGAAGACACCATAACCAGCATGTCTGATCTAATCCCACTCTCAGTACACAGCACTGTGGTTAACAAAGGATAGAAGCCAGTGGGGAGGCAAGAGGCTGTGAGGATTTATTTTTACATTAACAGGTTAAGTGGGACTAAATACCACATGGGGACTAAAATGAGTCTTACAGGGCACATGTGTTTATTACAGTAAAACAAAATGACTGTTTAAAAAGAATGTATTTGTGGAGTGATAAAGCATAACTGATGCACAATAAAGTCCTTTTGCTCCATCACACTCAAAAGTACCATTGTAAAACAGACATGCTGACATATGCCTGTAATCCCAGCACTCGGGCTAAGGCAAAATAGAAGTCACTATCCTGGGAATAAAGTTCAGTGCTAAGAAGCCTTGCATACCAATGTAAGCCCTAGGGTCAACTACCTGTCCACAGAAAGTGAACCTGTACCTCAAAGACGACAACCATTTGGGGTCACAGACTAATAATCCCCAGGGTGTCACTTAATGCAAGCTGCCCAAACAAAACCACTTAAAGTATAACCTAAAGGCTAGAGAGATGGTACATCAGTTGTGAACACTATTGCTCTTCCAGGCATTCAATTCCCAGTACCCACATGGCAGCTCACACCAGTCAGTAACTCCTGTTCCAAGAGATTCAATGCCCTCTTCTGCCCCCTGCGCACTAAGTAGAAACACAGTAAACATATATACAAACATACAGATAAACATATATATACATACATGGACACGCGCGCACACACACACACATATACACATACAAGCAGGCAAATTAATATATGTTAAATAAAATGAAATTTTTGGAAACATCTTACAATTACATCACATATTACTCCTTATTTTTAAAAAAATGTTAAGAAAGTAAAAAAGATGACAACTTACTGTTCCCCTTCAGCAGGAGGTGTCCAGGCCTCTTCAATCAGTCGAAAGACAGAATCGAAATAAGTCAGATAGAACTGCCAGTCATCTGAGCTAAAATAAGATTGAATGATGCACACAGGATTAAACTCAAGTTGTGATAAGGTTCCTTAGGTACTATGACTTCAACCTTTTTTTTTTTTTTTCAAGACAGGGCTTCTCTGTAGCTTTGGAGCCTGTCCTGGAACTCCCTTTGTAGACCAGGCTGGCCTCGAACTCACAGAGATCCGCCTGCCTCTGCCTCCCCAGTGCTGGGATTAAAGGCGTGCGCCACCACCGCCCGGCTTCAACCAATTTTATAAGTCATGCTCATGTATACCAGGACCCCCCCAGGATGGCACTGTGGAGACTGTTAGAGCCTGGGGCTTTCTAGATACTCAAAGACTAACTTCCTAACATACAATTACCCCCAATGAGCTCTTCCTAACTAAGAACTGGCATGGAGAGGGAAGCCTCTTTAAGGCCAGTGTCAAATATGACACAGAAACTTGCTAGGTAGTGATGGCACACGCCTATTATCACAGCACTCAGGAGGCAGAGGCAGGGGGAATCTCTTCACAGAGATCCAGGCCAGCCTGGTCTACAAAGCTAGTTCTAGGACAGCCAGAGCTACACAGAGAAACCTTGTTTCAAAAAACAAAAACAAACAAAAAGTAATACAGTAACTCCACACTAATCCTTAAGAAATAACTTATCCACCACTTCCTAGGCCCCATTAGGACTTACTTTCAAAATATAAAGCTCACTGAAAACTTCTAACATACCTAGAACTCTCACAACACAGACCAGCATCAGTCTCGGGGGCCTGGAAACCTTCCAAGGCTCTCAGCTCACAAGCAGTGGCCATCTACTCACTTTTTCAACAGGAGGCGTCGGGAAAGGGCATTGCACTCTGGCCACCTGCTCAGCTTCTTGTACATGGCCATGCATTTGTTTTCCCGACTCTGAATCTCACTTGTCAACTTATCTACAACAAAAAGTATAAAAGTTGGGCTAGTTTCATGTCTACCAGAATAAAATCCAATGGGGGGGGGGAGAGTCCTATTTGTTGGCTCCCTCAATAAAATAAACTTCTAGCACTCGGGAGGCAGAAGCAGATGGACCTCTGTGAGTTCCAGGTCAGCCTGATCTACACAGCTAGTTCTAAGACAGAACTACAGAGAGAAACCTTGTCTCAAAAAACACAAAAGAAAAGAAACTCTTAAAATAATACACTCTACTATCTTACAAAGATCCTTTTCCTAAATAGAAACATTTCCTACAATAAATTTAAATGGTTGAAGATCCACACTGAGCTGTGATAGATACATGTAAAATACAACATATCCAGACTCAGAAACCTCAACTGACACACTTCTGAAAAATGGGTACTGCAGACATGCAGTCAGGCAAAACACCCATACCTATAAAATAAAAGTAAGTAAAATGGCCAGGCAACTGTGGCATACACCTCTAATCTCAGCACTTAGGAGGCAAACATGGTAAATCTCTGAGTTTGAGATCAGCCTGGTCTATAGAGTGAGTTCCAGGACAACCAGGGCAACACAAAAACCCTGTCTTGAAAATTCATAAATAAATAAATAGTGGGGGGTTATTTAACCGGAGCTGGGCATGGTGGTGCCCACCTTTAGTCCCAGCATTTGGGAGGCAGAAGTTGGAGGATCTCTAAGAGTATGGGTCTACAGAGAACACCATTCCCAGGATGTCTTGAAAAACAAAACTAAACAAAAAAAAGTTAAACCCAAGAGTTTATGGGAAGCAGAAACTGGGCTCAATGGAAGAAACTGGGGGCAGGAAGGTGGTGGTAGGGAGATAATGAGGTGGGGAAGACCTAGGAAAAGTTGAGAGAGGGTAAAAAATGAATACAATCAAAATTACCTTGTATGAAATTCTCAAAGAATTAATTAAAAAAAAAGTGTTATTGTTTGAGACAGGGTTGATCTCTCTACACAGCCCTGGCTGTCCTAGAACTCACTATGTAGACCAAGCCTGCCTTTGGCTCCTAAGTGCTTGGGATGAAAATACTGTTAATAGTTTAAACACAAGTTTAGAAACCAGCCTACAGGGCTGGAGAGAGCACTGGCTCCTCTTCCAGAGGTCCTGAGTTCAATTTCCAGCAGCCACATAGTGGCTCACAACCATCCATAAAGGATCCGCCTTCTGGCCTGTAAGCATACATGCAGGCAGAACACTGTAAAGGTACTAAATAAATATAAATCTTTAAAACAAAAACAAAACCACTTACAGTCCACACAGTTCAAAACCCCAGAGAACCTACACAACAAAGAGAACCTTAAGAGGAATATACACAGATCTACAAAGAAAAGAGAAAAGGACAAGATCTTCTGAGTAAATTGGGAGCATGGGGCTCACAGGATAGGGTAGAAGGGGAGAGAGGAGACGAGAAGGAAGGGAGGGGAGCAGACAAAAATGTACAGCTCAATAAAAACAATACAAAAATCCCTATGTTTAGAACATAGAAGTATATATAGCAAAGTTATAGGACTTTTATGATTGTATGGGAACTTTTCAACCACAAGTAAGTTTCATCTTCAAATTAAAAACAAAACAGGAAACTTTTTAAATTACCTCCTAATTTCCCTCTAATGACATCCAGGGCTTCCTGGTACTTCCCCAAGCGTTCCAGGATCATATAATAAAGTTCAACCTTGTAGAAGACACAAACAGTTACAGCATTGAGAAGCGAGCAGGAATGCAAGCATCTGTGTACTCATTACAATTTTTTTTTTTTTTTTTTTTTTTTTTTGGTTTTTCAAGACAGGGTTTCTCTGTGGCTTTTGGAGCCTGTCATTACAATTATTTAACAGAACTGTGTCGACGACTTTTCCTTTCCACACACATCTTAATTAACAGAGAGCACTTTCCAGAGATAGCCCAGTTTCATGATCCCTAGCTGAGACAGGCAAGTCTTTTTTACCCAAGGCCCAGAACCAGCTATAAAGTAGACATTGTTGTCACAATTGGGAAAATGGAGTTAGGGTGTATACTCACTTCAGCTTCAGCTTCTATCTTGTCCTCTTTCACCATTTTTTCTACCATCCTTTCTGCCAGGGGCAAAAACATGGTTTTTGAGAGATTTTCATCTCGTGCGGATATAGACTGCAAGAAAAACGATAAATATTTTGCTGTGATCTCTCTCCTGCTTGTTCTGTTCACATCACCATGCAGAACACCACTAAGACCTGTGACTCTGGCCCCCAGTCCACTGTGTACATTAACAGGCCTAATATGAATCTACCACAGACACACGGAATCATAGCCACCTTAGCATCCCATTCATTCCTACAACCCCTGGCTTCTACATGACTTAGTGCTTTGACAGGCTGATCTGATAGTTACCTACAAGTACTCAAAAAGGGGTGTGCCTCTGTTTGGTATTACATTACCAGGGTGCCAAGAGGGAAGCTGTGTACACTGTGCCTTGATATGCTAACACAGCTACAAAAGGAGACATCCCAATTCTAGTTACACAGCTCTTGTTATTAGCTAATTACCATATAGCCACCATTTTTAAACCAGGACTACTGTTAACTGAACAATGCAAAGATTCTGCTCAAGGCTCACTTATCCAGAGGACACAACCTTTCAAAGTAGATATATACTCAACTTACAGATATAGAAACTAGAGAAAGGATTCCCCCAGCAGTTTGACAATTTCTAGTAATGCCCCACACACTTGAAGATAGAGAGCTTGGTTTATTGTGATAATTTTTTTTTTTTTTTATCTTCTCGAACAGGGTCTCACTTGCACCCTGATTCAGCCTCAAACTCCAGATCATCTTGCTGTGCTTGGAGTTCCAGGTGTGTATCACCATGCCTAGTCTATAATGTGTTTTCTCAGCATGACCTCCCAGCCCCTTCTCCCCAGAGGGTATCAGTGTGATTCTTACAGTTCTGGGAGATAAGCATCTCCATTCCACAAAAGAGGAAGTTGAAGCTTGTTAAGAACAAAACCAGCCAGCTGTAGTGATGCACACCTATAATCCCAATACTCAAGTCCTCTGTAGCCACATACTGTTGGGAGCTGGCCTGGGATAAACTAATAGGACAACTGTGAAACTACCAAGCAGCCAGGCACGATAGCCACCTCACCTGTAACCCCCAAATTCAAGAGATGGAGGCAGCAGGATCTTGAGTTTGAGGTCAACCTAGGTTACATAGTAAGTTCAAGGTGATACCCTATCTCAAAACAAAACAAAAAAACACTAAATAAGAAAGGTGGAAAACTGTCTCAGAGGTTAAGAGCACTGGCTATTCTTTCAGAAGAATCAAGTTTGATTCCCAGCACCCACATGGTGACTCAAAATTGTAACTCCTGTTCCAAGGCACCAGACACCCTCTTCTGGCCTCAGCAGCTACCAGTACATGGTTCACAGACATACATACATACAGGCAAAATATCCATATATATAAAATAAAATTTAATTAAACAAAGACTACCAAGTATTCCCAAATTGAAAACCAAGGGATGATCCGTCAAGACCCTCCTGACACAGTTCATTAGAGACAAAGATGGTAAAGACACTTCAATCCAATTCTAAGCAACATACTTACTTGCATGATTAAGCTCATCACAGACCAAAAGTAGTAAGGGTTTTTGGGGACAATCTTATACAGAGCCATGCCAGCCTGAAAGAGAGCATAATTTAGAGATCAGATAGACAATTAATAAACTGGAAATGAAAACAATGTAAGTCTGAGTGTGTGGCACGTTCCCAAGACCAGTAACACAGTTGCATACTGTAGGTGATGGCAGTGCCTGATAACCTCATCACTATGACAACAACAAATAATCATAAATGTCAAGTTTTACATCCTGAGTGACAGTTCAACTTTTGAACCATTTAAGTCCAAACTCAGAAAATGGATGTGACGCAGTACAGTTCTAAGAAGACTACCAAAATTCACAGAATTTGACTATGAATGTTTATCAGTGTGATCTTCAGACCTGGATAAAGTTCAGTTGGTAGAGTGCGTGCCTACCAGCCCAAAGCCACAGGAATGCCCACCACTGTCCAGGCACGGGATGCATGCTCATAGTTTCAGGCACTTGGGAGACAGAGGAGGTTCAATCATCCTCAGCTGCTCAGGGAGCTTGAAGTCAACTTGGGCTGAGACCCTGTCCAAACAAACAAGCCACAGCAGCAGTCCTCACTGAAGACCCTGAAACAACTACAGTAAGCAGGATCACCAGACAGGAGGTAGACTTGGTGGGAAACATTTGGTCCTTCCAAGCTATCAATAATTACAACTAACCCTACCAGCCAGGCACAATGGAACATGCCTGTAATGAACATGGCCTCCCAGAACTTGAGGTAGAGACAGAAGATCAAGAGTTCACTCTTAGCTATATAGTGAGCAACATGAGACACTGTCTCAAAAAAACTAACAGAAAAAATGACTAACCCTTTTACATACTATGCCCACACTTAGAGCAGATGTAGACAAACAGAGCTAACTAGGATTACTTGAGCATACTGAATTGCTGTCCCCAAATCCCTTCAACTCAAAAAAGGAACCTGTTCTAGGCATGAGCAAAATCTAGCACAAGCAAAAGAGATAAGGCAAAATGTAAACCACACAAATAATTCATTAGAAGTAGTGTGTGTTTATGCATATGTGATGGAGGAAGGTCACTGGTTAATTAATAAAGAAACTGCTTGGCCTGATAGGTTAGAACATAGGTGGGTGGAGTAAACAGAACAGAATGCTGGGAGGAAGAGGAAGTGAGCTCAGATGCCATAGCTGTCCTGTCTGAGGCAGATGCGATGAAGCTCCGACCCAAGATGGAAGTAGGCTAGAATCTCCCTGGTGAGTCACTACCTCGTGGTGCTACACACATTAATAGAAATGGGCCAAGCAGTGTTTATATGAATACAGTTTGTGTGTTGTTATTTTGGGGCATAAGCTAGCCAGGTGTCCAGGAGCCGGGCGGTAGGAACGCAGCCCGCAGCTCCTTCAACACATATAGATTCACATGTGTGCACATGCCTATAGAGGCCAGAGGACAACCTCAGGGGTTGTTCCTCAGGAGCTGTCCACTTTGCTTTCTGAGATAGGGTCTCTACTGGGATCTGAAGCTTGTCAATTAAGCTAAGCTGGCTGGCCAGAAAAAGGCCTCCTTAGCACTGGAATTACAAGAAAGCCATCATATTTAATGTAGGGTACTGGGTACTGGGACTCAAACTCTGGCTTCATGTTTACATGACAAGCATTTTACCAACGGAGTTTTCTCTCAATATCTTGATTATTTTTGTTTTGTTTTTTTTCTGTGTAGTTTCGGATCTTGAACTGGAACACATTCTGTGGACCAGGCTGGCCTCAAACTCACAGAGATCCACCTGCCTTTGCCTCCACCTTCCCAAGTGCTGGGATCAAAGGTGTGCACCACTACCACCCATCCCAAGTCCTTGATTCTTTTCTGGGCACAGGTAAACATGCAGCTGAAGCCGCCTCAGGCTTGCTATGTAGCTGAAAATGGCTCTAAATTCTCGACCTTCCTATACCCATCTCCCAAATGCATAACACAGATCTAACCAATTAAAATTTACCAACAATAGAAATGTGTATAAAAACACCATACGAGGAGGCTGGAGAGATGGCTCAGAGGTTAAGAGCACTGCCTGCTCTTCCAGAGGTCCTGAGTTCAATTCCCAGCAACCACATGGTGGCTCACAACCATCTATAATGAGATCTGGTACCCTCTTCTGGTCTGGTGGCATCCATGCAGATAGAACACTGTATCCATAATAAATAAATAAATCTTTAAAAAAACAAAAAACACCATACTAGCCAGGTGGTGGTGGTACATGCCTTTAATCCCAGCACTAGGGGAGATCTCTGAGATCAAGGTCACCATGATCTACAGAGCGAGTTCCAGGAGAGGCTACACAGAGAAACCCTGTCTTGAATGCCCCTCCCCCCACCAAAAAAAAAAAACTCAACATACTATAGTGGGCAAGTTAGGAAGGAGCACTGACTGCTCTTCCAGAGATCTAGATTCAGTTTCTAGCACCCACAAAACTGTCTTTAACTATAGACCCAGGAGATCTAGTTACCCACTTCTATCCTCCTCAGATACTGTACACAAACATACAAGTAGCAAAACACACCCACATATATATATTATGTATGTATGTATATACACACACACAAACACAAAAAACAAAAGGAACAATAAATAAATAAACAGAATCACATGCTAGGTGATTCCAAGAAAGGTGAAATCACACAACGTTCTTTCCTCCTTAAGAGAATATGGGGAAGTATCATTATGAAATCCCCTGAAAAACAGCATTTCAGATGGATCTTAAAGGACAAGTGAGGCTCTAGGCTAGACTGAAGATATTAGGATGCACAAACATTTGAGGTCAACAGGTGAGTAAGTCATCAATTCTCAGGAGGAAAATGAGTCTGAACAAAATCAAAGAGAGTGAGTCATGGGGTAGAAAAATGGCTCAGTGGTTAAGAGAGCCTGCTGTCCTTCCAAAGGAGCCGAGTCCCAGACACACACAAGAAAAATCAAGAGGGCTGGGCCAGTTTTAGTGGGAGAGCACTGGCCTATCACCAGAAAGCCCTGGGTCCAATCTCTAACACTAACAAAAAACTCAAGGAGTCAAAGGCTGGTGTGAAGGGTAGACATCTAGTACGTGTAGGGCCCTAGGTCAATCTCCAGCACCAAAAACCATAGAGGAAGGAAAACAAGTTCATGAGAGACACAAGAAGTACTTCTACTTTGAAAACTTATATAAGAGAATATAAACGCTGATTCTGAGGAAGGATTTGTATTACCCTGTCTGACTTCCTATAGCTACGGTGTGATACTGCAGGCAAAGAACAAGTTAAACAAAAACTCAAATTTATTTTTAAGATTTATTTTTTTAGTTATGTATAGTGTTTGCCTGCGTGTATGCCTGCAAGCCAGAAGAGAGCACCAAATCTCATTATGGATGGTTGTGAGCCACCAGGTAGTTGCTGGGAATTGAACTCAGGACCTCTGGAAGAGCAGCCAATGCTCTTAACCACTGAACCATTCTCTCCAGCCCCCAAAAACTCAAATTATAAAAATATCAGCACTCAAGAGGCAGAAACTGAAACTCAAGCCTTGCTAGATACTGCTTATTAAGTTTAAAATAAAGTTCCAGGAAAGGCTTAGCTACAAGCAGGTTTTGTTGTTGTTTTCTTTTTGTAGCAAGATCTTGAATTCATTCCAGGGTCTTATACTTGAACTTATTATGCAGCTAACTTTCAATTCTTGACCCTCCCATCATCTACCCAGGTACTTCGATGATAGGCACATGCCACTATGAGAGGTTTATCCTACAATGCGGCTAAAGACACAAAACACTACACTGAGCTAGATGTGGTGACACACATCTACAATCCCAGCTACTCAGGAAGCTGCAGACAGAATGACATCAAGTTGAAAGCTATTCTGGGCAAAAGTCTTTCATGGTAGCCGGGCTGTGGTGGCGCACGCCTTTAATCCCAGCACTTGGGAGGCAGAGGCAGGCGGGTCTTTGTGAGTTCAGAGACCAGCCTGGTCTACAAGAGCTAGTTCCAGGACAGGCTCCAAAACCACAGAGAAACCCTGTCTCGAAAAAACAAAAAAAAAGTCTTTCATGGTGCCCAGGCTGACCACAAATCATCATATAGCTAAGGATGGCCTCGAACCTCTGATTGATTGATTTTGGCTTGACTTCCAGAATGTTGGGATTAAAGGCATGTGCCACTATGTCCAGCTCACATTAATGTTGGGGGTAAACCCAGAAAATGTGCACTCCTGGCAAACATTCCAACTGAGCTACAGCCCCAGCCCTAATGCAACTTCTAAAGGGCTAAGAATACAGCCAGCAGTAACATCTGCCTAGCCTGGGTTTCACCCACCATGCCACAAAAAAAAAAAAAAAAAAAAAAACAGTAAATATTTGTGTAACATTCTTCAAATGTACACAAAGAACCCCTAAAATCCGATCAAATAAGCCACCTCTGGAGAGCAAAAGCTAAGAATTTCAGCCATAAGGACTTTTTCCCTGGTGAATTTATCTAACTCTCAGAAGGCTAAAGCAGCTCAATTAACTGGATGTAAACTTAAGAGCAGCTCTCTGTTTTGTGCTCCGTGATTTCTGCCTATCCACTTTCTGAAACCTGAACAGGCATGTCACTCTAGAGCAATCTCGAGCTGACAGCAAACCAAAGCAAACACATGAGCAGCCAGCCAACTTCCCCAAATCCCTGAGAACTCTGTAACTGGCTAATCACCACACACACAGCAGCTCAATCATATCAGAGACTTTGCGCCCTACCCAGAAGGGTGTGAATTTGGTTACCTGCTGCATCTTCTTGTACTCGCCCACTCTGGCGTAGGCCATGAAGAGGTGAGAGTGATACTCCTCGCTGTTGGGAACTTTCTTCACAGCCGCCTCATAAAGCTTTGTGACTAACTCCGCTAAGAGGAAGACAAGCAAGATTGGGTTTTGCTTCCATAAGATAAAATCCTAATGCTCTTTTCTGTTTGGTTAAAGCAGGTGTTCTCAGTCTTTCTAATGCCGAGACCCTTTAATACAGGTTCTCATGCTGTGGTGACCCCCCCCCCAACCATATTTTTGTTGCTACTTCGTAACTGTAGTTGTCACTGTTATGAAATGTAATACAAATATCTGATATGCAGGATATCTGGCTTGACCTCTGTGAAAGGGTCCTTTGACCCCAAAAGGTCTTGACCCACAAGTTGAAAGGGTTAAATGGCTCCTCCTTGCGCTAAAGGACATGGAGGTATTGTTTCCATCTTCTGCTTAAGTATTGTTGAGGGTATTTTTTGCTGTTTTTTTTCAAGACAGGGATTCTCTGTTTAACAGACCTGGCTGTCCTGAAACTTACTCTGTAGACCAGGTTGGCCAGATCCTGCCTCTGCCTCCCAAGTGCTGGGACTAACAGTGTGTGCCATCACATCTAGCTTTAAGTGTTGTTTTGATGAAGCATGGATTAGGTCATATCTCTTCATGGTATCTGCCATGAACTCAATCTGTGTCCTTTCAACTCTCTCTTTTAGCCCTCCACTGTGTAGTGACATTAACTAGTTCTTCAGGGTACCCTATGTCATATCCTGGCCTAATATGCTGTTCCCACTGCATAGCTTCTTCTGTTCCCTTTTCTACTCAGTAAACCCCCAGCAAGAACACAATCCCAATCCTCTCTGCAGGCCCCACCCTGAAGTCTGCCTCTCCTTCCCAATTTGATCGCTGTCTCTTCTCTGTGTTAAACTCTGACTAAAAGAGAAGATCTCTAGTATAGCATTAACTGATACCCAATGCAGCTAGGTATGGCAGCGCATGCCTATGATCCCAGTTTTTGGAAGGTTGAAGTTGGAAGACAGCAAGTTAAAGGTCTTATCTATAGACTAAGTTCAAGGCCACTCTGGCATAGTTAGTAAAAGTCAGCTCAAAATAAAAAATATATTAAGGAGTGCAGCTTAGGGGCTGAGCACTTGCCCAGCATGTGTAAGGTCCTGTATTTGATCTCCAGTATCACAGAAATAGTCAATATTATCTTTCTTCATCATTAAGCAAAACAAACTCTCTCTGATACAACAATTCTATTCCTAGCTGCGGTGGCATTATGGAATGAATAATCCCTGGCAATGAAGATGGATTCACCAGAGCCACATAGGTATCAGTCCAGAAATGCATTACACAGAAGCACATAGCACAGACCCAGCAACATGAAACCCAAGACAAACTAAAGGGGCATTGTCACACTGAAACAACAAGACAGAGAACTAAAGCCAGCAGAGGGCCTCAGATGTGATTCATTGGCAGAGGGATTGTCCAGCTCAGGCAAAGAAGGGAAGAGACAGAAGGGATAGGGCAGCAAACAAGTCAATCAAAGTAATTCAGGAGAGGAAATACTCCCCAAGGAAACTGAAATTCAGTTGGAATATGGGAGGCTTTCCCAGCATCAACACTGTTCTAAGCCATTCTGCCTTTCCCTTACTGCTTAATATGAGAGTGTGGGCACAACAAACGTGTGGGCAAGGAGAGCATGGCACAACAGACGAGTGGGCGTGGAGAACATAGACACAGCAAACATGGGCAAGGAGAACGTGAGCACAGCAGACGCAGTCACGTAGGCAAGGAGACTGTGGACAGAGCAGACATGGTGGCTCAAGGACAACTCTTAGAAGTTTCTTCCTCCTTCCATTGTGGGCTCAGTGGACTAAAGTCAGGTATCAGTCTGCATGGCATCTTACCAGCCCAACAAGGTTCTACTTCTTAATTATAGGGTAGCTTCATGACTCACCAAATTTACTAGCACATTGCATAAAACAATATATTTTGCCGGGCGGTGGTGGTGCACGCCTTTAATCCCAGCACTTGGGAGGCAGAGGCAGGCGGATCTCTGTGAGTTCGAGACCAGCCTGGTCTACAAGAGCTAGTTCCAGGACATGCTCCAAAACCACAGAGAAACCCTGTCTCAAAAAA